TGTTTAATGTTCTTCTTATGTTATTAGCTCCTTGTCGGCCAGGGATGAAGCCTGTCTGGTCTGGATTAATCAATTTTGCTATAATTTTTTGCATTCTTTTCGCCAGGATATAGGTTAGCAGCTTTTGGTCGTTACATAGCAAACTAATGGGTCTATACCCTTCACAAAATGTCGGGTCCTTACCCTCCTTATGGATCACTGATATAATAGCTTCTGACTATGTATTTGGTGGGTTTCCTCTAGCAAGAACATAATTAAAAACTTTAGTTAGTATAGATACTAAGTCATCTATGAAGCATTTATAAAACTCTCCAGAGAGTCCGTCTGTCCCTGGAGATTTGTTGTTTTTTAGTTTTTTTTATGACTTCCCGTATTTCAGTTTCTGTAATATCTGATATAATTTGTAATGCTTCATCTTCTGACAGTGAGAGAAGATACAGACTGGAAAGAAAGGCCTCAGGATTGTCATTTTTAGTTTTTGATCTAGTCTCTTCACATAGCTTTTCATAGAATGTTGCAAAAGCATCTGCTATTTCTTTAGGGTGTGAAACTGGGGTGTACAATCTTAGGAACCACACGACTAGCCTGGGATTTACGAAGTTGAAAAGCTAGCAAGCGGCTTGCTCTGTTCCCCATCTCATAATGTCGTTGTTTGGAAAATCTTAAGGCTCCTTCTGCTTTGTATGTGAGGAGCTTGTCCAAAGCCTTCCTGTTTTCTTTTAATTCTAACAAAGTATTATGTGTTCCTGTAGTTTTGTGTTCTGATTCTAACTGCTTTATTTTATTTTCTAATTTAGTTTGTTCTTCCAGTTGTATTTTCTTTAATCTAGATGCAATTTGAATCATCTTTCCCCTTATAACTGCTTTAGCTCCCCCCCATAAAATTGATGGGGACACCTGTCCATTATCATTTGTCTCGAAATATTTTTTTTAAATTTTTGTTTTAAGGTATGGGTCAATAACGAGACATTCAGTCTCCAGTATCTGAATAAATTTTCTTTGTCTAAATCTATATTTAAAGTTACAGGAGCATGATCACTCAGAGTTATTGGTTCTATATGGCAATCTGTTACGTTATACATATGCTGTTGAGATAAACAGAAGAAATCGATTCTGGAATAACTGTTATGTACATTAGAGAAAAAACTAAAGTATTTTCCTGAAGGGTTTCTAGATCTCCAAGGGTCAATAAGTCCTAATTCTGAAATCATACTATTAAGTGTTTTGGTTTTTATAGTTTGGGGTCCTCCCTCTGCTGGCATTCTATCTAGCCTTCCATCCTGTACAGCATTGAAATCTCCCCCGACTATCATGATGCCCTTAGCATTATCCGCAATAACATTTGCAATTTCCTTAAAGAAATTCTAGTCCAGTTCATTTGGGGCATACAGGTTGAAAATAGACATCTCCACCTCTCCTCTTGCACCTACAACCATAATAAACCTCCCTAGTTTATCCTGAATAACGTTTTCAGAGGTGAAGGCTGTTAATTAAGATTGCAACTCCCCTTTTTTTTACCAAACGATGAATTGAATACTTGACTCACCCATTCCCTTTTTATTTTTTTATGTTCCCCTTCTGGTAAATGGGTTTCTTGTAATAAGGCAATTGAAAAATGCTATTTTTTTAACTGACTATATATTTTTTTCCTTTTAATGGGATGATTCAGTCCATAGACATTATACGTAATTATGGTCAAATTGTTCATGTATGTATAGCAAAAGTGTTCATTTTATCCTCAATTACTGTTTTCCACCCAGACCTCAGTTTCAGCATAATGCACCTGTTAAGTACCTGAGACATAACATATGACTGCACATCTGTTACTGTGATATGAACATGCTTTGAACGTGATGAACAGAAAAAACTTGTATATAGAAATAAATGAGAACTAACTTCCAAAAACCCAGCTGGTTGCACAAACATCCTGCTAACCAGCTTCTGTAAAGACGGAGAGTTGTGACTAAAATCTCTCCGGGGGAAGACACTTAGTGCTACTGTGACTATCTACAGATCGCCTGTGAGTGAAATTTAAAAAAAAAAAAATACCTTTCACCCTCTGAGGGAGAAACCTTGTTATTTTTCACTTTTTTTTTCTTTCCTTTTATGTAAACCAGCCAAGTTGGACTAAGCACCAAGCAAGGAAACCTGTAGGCCTGGTCTATTGGCAGCGCTATTTAGCAGTTTATTATCAGTCTATTAACCTCTCAAAGTTGTTTGCTATTCAATCTTCACCTTGAACAAAAGTCTGCAAGTCCGCGTTGGTCATCAGTAAAAGTCCCGCTCTGTTTGATGCCGATGTCGTGACCAGGGGATTGTGCAGCAGCTCCTTCTGGACATCCTCCCGCTCATCCACCTTGGCATTAATTCCCATCTTCATGAGTATTGGGGCTGCCTCCGAAAGGGTCGTAAAGCCACTTTTTATAGCTTCAAATTACTAATTAAAAACCACTCTTAAAACCACACATAAGAACTACCTAAACTGACAGAAACCATCTTTGGGAAAAATTAGTTTGACTTTAACATTAAGCGCGGGATTATGACCTAGCTTCCTGTTTGGGGGCGTTTTCAAAAACCCTTTGAGAAGCTACAAGAACCTAATTCTGTAATTTTTAAAGATACACTCCCAGACTTTGTGATACCACCAAGAAGCGCCCAAACACAAAATCAGCATACATGGAATGTCCAAATGCATACAGTAAGTCACAAGAGACCCTGCTTCATGTTACTCAAATCTGCAACAAGGAACTATAAGCTCACTGTCAGGACACACCAGAAATATGATCTTTGCATGTTATAATGAAGTGAGCAGTAGTGTTTCATGTCACACTGAGCAGCACTGCTGCTGTGCGTTTCCTTTGTGGTATTAATTGACAGTGGAGATGTTGTTGTGACGTACAGTATGGTCCTATAATGAGTGAGATTTCACTGATGACTGACCTGATGTGTGCTGTGTGTTGCAGAGGCTCATGGTGTGCCTTGAAGAGTCCATCTATATCCACAACATCAAAGACATGAAGCTGCTGAAGACTCTTCTCAACACTCCATCTAACCCCTCAGGTAAGACATTCATAGCAAGAGAGTGGAACCGCCCTTTGGTGTATAGCTTTTAAAGCAGCCATCATCAACGTTACATGATGTTAAAAATGGATCACATGAGTACTTGTACATGCAAAGGGTTGCTGGTAGTGATGAACCCACAGAACATTATCACCCGGCTCTGCAAGTTCCCTGAGCTCTGTAGAGTTAAATAATGTCCTTTAAAGCTTCAATAGGTGATTTTTATAAAAATATCTTTCTGTCATATATGCTGAAACTTTCACTATATCCTGACAGTAGGACATGAGACTAAAATCAGGTTCCTCTGGCTCCTCCTAGTGCTCCTAGGACATGGTATTTGCAAGAATCCACCGGCCTCAGTCAAAGCAACGAATCAGAGCAAGAGTCTTAGTCTTTTGCCCACCAAGTAATGTTACCCTGGCAGACAGTACTCACATTTACCATGAAGCACTATTCAGGCTGAACTTGACATTTATTCTTTCTCTCCTCTCACAGGTCTCTGTGCCCTTTCAACCAACCATTCCAACTCGTACCTGGCATACCCCGGCAGTGCCACCATTGGGGAGATCATAGTGTATGATGCCAACAACTTGGTAAGAAATATGTCATCACAGAACACCTCAAATATTATGCTACAATCTGTGATCCTCTGTGGTTTAAAATGGAGCCAGCTGATTATTACATTGTTTATTGTATTTCATTCAGTGTCCATATGCTTGGCATATACAGCAGCGGCCCAGGTTCGAGTCCGACCTGCGGCCCTTTGCTGCATGTCACCCCCTCTCTCTCTGCCCCCCTTTCCTGTATCTCTCCAGCTATCTCTGTCAAATAAA